GGAGCAATCACGGCTCAGCCTTCAAGAACGGCTCGGCCGACTCGAAGCCGCCGGCAAGCTTTCTGAGTTCGAAGAGAAGTACGCGGCTTTCAAGAGCGGCGGCGACCTCGGGGCTGGTATCGAAGCCGAGTCGATTCTCGGCGGTCGCATCGAAGGCGTCGGTAAGGCCGCGGCGGCGTCAGTCGACGATCGCTTCTCGACCGATTTCCTCGACGAGCTCGGGCCCAAGATCGAAGCGAGAAACCAAGAGCTGCTCGACAAGGTGTCGCAGGCCGCGGGGGGTTTGGGTCAGAAGGCGATCGACACGCTGATCAAGAGCCTCCAGGACAAGGACACGGATCTTGCGAACGCGATGCAAGACGCGGCCGACAAGGCGGCGGAAGAGATGTCGAAGGTGGAAGACATCATCGCCACTCTCATGCAGAAGATCAGAGCGGCGACCCTTAAACTCGAAGAGTTGCAGTACCGAAGCGCCAACAGCGCGAGCGGGGTTTAACAGTTCATGGCCGACAGTGAGTCCAAACCATCGATCGACCCGCTTCGACTTGAGGTCCTGTGCGAGTCGCTTCGCAAGGGCTGCACGCGCCGCCAAGCGATCGCCGCAGCGGGCCTCAGCAAGACAACCTTCTATCGGCGACTTAAGGAGGATGGCGACCTCAAGCACTTGGTGGAAGACGCCGAAGTCTTCTCGATCGCCGCCGTAGAGAACGCCCTATGGAAAACAGCGACCGGCGGCAACGTTACGGCTCAGATCTTCTATCTGATCAACCGGGCGCCCGACGCCTGGAAGGACCGGCAGACGCTGGCGATCGAAGCGGGAGCCGCCATCCCCGACGACGGGCCCGATCCTAGGGCCGTACGCGAGGCGCTGAACCGGCTCACGGATGAGGCGAAGAAGGCGCTGCAAGATAAGGATCGGCATGAGGTGGCGGCGGCTTACCCGGCCGCGCTGGTCAAGCTGCAGGAGCGAGAGGGTGGAAACTGGGGGTCTGAGAACGAGCAAGCTGGCATTGATGATGAATAGCGAATGGAGAGCCGCTGGGCCCGATGGGACAACGCAAAAGAGCCGCCGGCGTTCCAGAACTGCGCCGCGAAGTGCGCCGCCATCCCAGCAAACCACTGCAACCGCCGATGCTTTCGAGTCCCCGAGAGACTGTCATCGAACGCCGGCCGACGCGTCTGCCTATGCTCAGGCCTTTTCCGCAACTGTCGGAGATACAGCCATGGCGAAGAAAGCAAAGGCCCGCAAGCTAACCACGAAGCAGACGAGCTACCTCGCGCCGGAACGGCTCTACACCCGCGACGGCTTCATGCGAGCGGCGGGGTTGAGCATGTCGCGATTGAGCGACGCCCGCCACGACCACGGCTTGGTGCCGAAGTGGCTGACGGTCGGCGCCAAGCAGTTCATTGACGGCACGGATGCGATCGCCTTCATCAAGCAACTTGCGGCCGCCGAAGCTGCCGAGAAGGAACGCCGCAATCGGACCGAGTGACCATGTCGCAGCGAGTCGCTGCTCTAACTGAGAATCCTTCCCCACACCAATGCGAGGCCATCCCATGCCCATGAAATCAGCCCTGCGGCAGCAAGTCGAAGCGCTCACGCGCAACCGCCAACTGTCGAGCGGGCAACTTCGGCAGCGAATAGCCCAGCTGCTCGAGGGCCCGTCCGTCGTTCCGAATGCTCTGGCGCCGCGGCGTGCCTTCGACGCTCTCGAAGCGACTCAGCCGACGGACGTTGCCCAGAGGCACTGCCGGCCTGGTTCGCAGCCGCTGGGACCTCGGAAGGCGAGATAGCATCGCCACCGTACGCCGCGAATCTCCGCCGGAAGTTCTTGACATGCGATCGGCAACGATGGCAAACTGCACCCGTCAAAGCTACGGCCCGCAAGGCCAACTCAGGGGTTCTGGCCCCGAGCATGTCGATGTCAAAGTTCCAAGTCGAAAACAGAACGCGTGGCCGTGCCGGTGTCGGGAGCACCGCAAATGCTCACGCCGTAAGGCACCGGGGCGGCTTCGACTCCGCCTGACAACGCCAGTACGGCCACGCGTTTTCTTTGCGTCTGAATGACGCGGAAGGAGCCTATTTAATGGCTGCGAACTCTCCTGCGCCAGTGCAATCAGCGCCGGACGCCCGGGAAATGACCAAGGCCGACATCTGCAACGTCGAGCCGCCGTCTGATGCCGAGGCACGGTTCCTCAAGGGCGCTGATCAATTGGCGATTACAGCCGACGAACTACAGCGAATCGCCGAAGTCGAGAAGCTGAACGAAGCTCTACGGGGATTGCTGAGAGTCAATCCGAACGACTCCGACGGCAAGGATGCCGCCGCAGGCTACGTTTCGGCAGACGACGGCCGGCACTATGAGAACGGCATTCCTCCGGTCGAGTTTGCTCTCGACTGGCAGTCGCACGTTTCCCAATGCGGCGGCGACATTGCCGCCACGGTCCTTCACCACCTGCGTTGGAATATCGCGGAGCATCAGAAGCTTCTCGACGCCACGGTAAAGCGGCTTCGCGAGGCCAAGCTGGTCGGCGCCGATGAAGACGAGACGGCCCGCTGGGGACTCACTGAAGGGGGTGCGCAATGATCGTGCGACTCACACCCGTTGCTCGCGACCGCATCAAGGAAATGCTGGCCCGCGGCGTCATGAGACGAGTGATTGCCAGAAAGACCGGCTACTCGACAGCTACGGTCAACAGAGTCCGCAGGGGCCTCTGCGAGGCTCTCACTATCAAGCGGGCGACAGTGGAAGAGATCCTCGGCCCCCGGCAAAAAGGTGGGCACGACCCGACACCTGACGAGATCGCTGCGGCCTGCGAAGCGATACGAAAGGTGCGAGAACGCGAAGACTTGGCGATCGCCGAAGCAGAGGCCGCCTACACCTCTGCCTATATCGATAGCGAAGGGGGTCGCCTATGAACGCCAACTCGACGACCTCGACGACCCTGTCGCCCGCCGACGCCAAGATGGCCGAGGCGTGGCGCCTGTATGACCTCGGCTTCCGCAGCGCCGCGGCGATGACGTCGCGGATGGCGATCGAGTTTGCACTCAACGATCGTCTCGAGGCGGCCGGGGTCGAGTGCGACAGAGCCCCGATCAAGGATCGCAGCAGGGCCCTACAGCGAGCCACGGGCATCAGCTCGAGGAATCGGAAGATGATCGTCGACGCGTTTCTCGACCTGAGCCAGTTCGTCCACGGACGCAACAGAGACGAGCGCAGCGTTCATCGGCTGATGCGTCGCGCCGAAGAGCTGCTGGCAATTATCGGAACGTGCTGAGCTACCGTCCCGGTCGTCCCGCTGTGGGGCGGCCGGGTTTTCTTCCCGCGGTCGATTGACCGCACTTCACCACCAACCCCTGGGGGTTACGCGAATGGCGAGTCTGGCAAACGATCCCGGCGGAACGCGCCGGATCCTTGTGATGGTAGACGGTCAGCGGAAGACCGTCCGACTCGGCAAGATGCCGAAGAAGAAGGCCGAGCGAGCGCTGCAGCATATCGAGGAATTGGCGTCCTGTCGGATCGACGGCAGCGCCCCCCACGATGAAACGGCCCGCTGGGTCGCTGGGCTCGCTGACGTGATAAGGCAGCGTCTTGTGAAGGCGGGGCTCGCGTCGCCTCGGCAGGGCGTTCGGTCGCTGACCGTCGGCCAGCTGATCAAGCAGTACGAAGCGAAGAAGACGCCCGGATACAAGCCGGGGACGATCCAGGTTCACGACCGTGCCTTCGCGTCGATGCGTGAGCACCTGGGGGCCGATACGCCGATCGCCGACGTGACGGCCGGCGACGCTGAAGACTTCCGGGATTCGATGTTGAACACCGATGGCTTGGCCGAAGCGACGGTCCGGAAGCGGTGCGCGATCGCCTCGAAGTTGTTCCGATACGCGATCAAGCATCGGCTGATCGACCGCGACCCCTTCGACGATGGCGAAGTGCCTCGCGCGAACGTCGGCACCAACCACCACCGGTTCATCAAGGCCGAGACGGCCCGGCTGGTGATGGCGAAGCTTCCGTCGGCCGAGTGGAAGGCGTTGTTCGCCATGAGCCGTTGGGGCGGCCTACGCGTCGGCTCCGAGCCTCGCCTGCTTACCTGGCCCGACATCGACTGGGAACGCGAGCGGATCCGTGTGACGTCGCCCAAGACAGAGCGCTACGCCGGTCGCGGTACCCGGACGCTCCCGCTCTTCCCGGAGCTGCGAGAGGCACTCAGGGAGTGGCAAGAATTGGCGCCGGAACTCGAGCCGCTGGTTTTCCCGATGCTGGTGGGCAAGACCGACCAGTGGCTGCGGAAGACCATGTTCTGGGCGATCAAGCTTGCCGGTGTCGAGGCGTGGCCCAAGCTGTGGCACAACCTCCGCGCCACCCGCCAGACGGAGCTGGAGCAAAGCTTCCCGACCCACGTCGTCTGCGCCTGGCTGGGCAATTCGACGGCGACGGCGAAGAAGCATTACCTGATGGTGACCGACGATCACTTCGCCCAGGCGTCGCAGAAGGCGGCGCACAATGCGGCGCAGCTGGCGGCTGCGGCGAGTAGCGGCGAGTTGCAGGAAGTTTGAGACGCCGCCGGCCCCGGAGGACCGGAGCCAGCAGACGCCCCTCTTTTTGCTAGGGTTTTCTACCGGCTGCGACTTCTAGCGACAGCCAACCCTAGCGAGCGTCGAAGAAATCGATAGCCGAGGCGGGACTCGAACCCGCACGGGGGTTACCCCCCACCGGATTTTAAGTCCGGAGCGTCTGCCATTCCGCCACTCGGCCAACGGGTTGCAGGATAACGAGTTACGCGGCAGAGGGTAGGCCCGTCTTCGGCGCCGTTCTTGGACGCAGACGGAGTCAAATTCTCTCGCGACGATGCGAATGTCTCGACACCCCTGGCCCGCGTGCCCGCACGGCGGGTCCGGGGTTACGAAAGCGGCAGTTGTGCCTCGGATACTTTGCGACAGGCCGGTGAGTTTGCGCAAACGCGATAGCCTCTCTCGGAGACCGTCGATAGGCTGAAAGGACGTTTAGCGTCGGTGTCGGCGCCGAATCGAGTTGTATGAGGCAAAATTATGCAGTTGGTTGTCAAGACGTTCATTGGCTCCGCCGCTGCGGTGTCTGTCTGGGTTGCGTCGGTGAGTCACGTCGCGGCTCAGTTCACGGCGCTGCCCACGATCAACGTCACGGGCTTAGGTAACAAGCCGACGGAGAGCGATTACGTTCCCAACGTTGTGAAGAGCGAGAATGGCTTAGCGTCGTTCGAAGCGCTCAAGGCTCAGGCCGTCGCCGCGCGGACCTTTGCTTACTACAAGATGACCCAGCAAGGGTTCATCAACGACGGCACTTCCGATCAGGTGTACACGGGCAACGGCCAATCTCCGCGGCAGATTCACTACGAAGCGGCGGCGGCTACCGAGGGCGAGATACTCTGGGTGCGGGATAACCTAGGAGCCCAGGCCGACGTGCTGCTCGCCTCCTTCTATGTAGCTGGGGCCATTCCCACAGGTCCGTTCAATTCGGACAACCCAGGAATCATCTACGAGCCGGGCGACTCAGACCCGACCAACACTGAACGGTACGTCACGTATCCCTACGCCAACGGCCAGGTCGGTGGGTTTAACTCCGGCACGACGCTGGGCTTCATCGGCCAAGACCCCATCAACAACCCGAACTGGCCCAATCGCGGCGCCATGTCGCAGAACGGCGGCGACTATCTCTCCGACAACTCCATCAACTACCTCGACATCCTCAAGTACTACTACGGCGCCGACATCCAGGTCCGCACCGCGACGACCGCCGGCACGGGAGTTACGTACGGTCGCAAGGTGCTGACGACGTTCGACGACTACGGCAGCGGCCGCCCATCGTACGGGATCATTGACGGCAACGAAGGCGTCTTCCATCGGTCGCCGACGTTCTCGGGCAGCACTACGGCCAATCTCGCCGGCTCCGATGCGGTGCGCGATAGTTCGACGGCCCAGCAAGGCTCGCACTCGCAGCGGATCGACGTCGTCTACGACGAAACGATCGGCGGCGAGTTCTTCATGCGGCACGTCGCCGGCGCCAAGTACAGCGACTTCGATGGATCGCAAAACGCGGCAGAGCAGATTGCCAACTTGCAGTTCGAATCGATCGGTTCCGTTGGCTTCTGGTTAAAGACCACGGACCCCGGATTGCAAGTCTCGCTCGGCATTGACGATCCCAACACGGGCGATCGCGGCGTTCGTAAGCCGGTGATCGCCGACGGTGAGTGGCACGAGTATAAGTGGTTTCTCGACGATGCGTCCCAATGGAATGCGTGGGCCGGCGGCAACGGCCAGATCGATGGCGTCAACGTGTCGCTCGACTCGGTTCAACTGTTCGGCTCGTCGGATGCAACGGTCTACCTCGACACGGTCTTCTGGGACCCGACCGACGTGTTCGACCACCGCACCATCGGCGACTTCAACGGAGATGGCGATGTGGATGCCGCCGACTACACGGTCTATCGCGACAATGTCGGCGTGATCGACGCCGGCAATCCAGCGGACGCCAACGGCGACGGCGTCGTCTCAGAGACCGACTATGCGGTGTGGTCGGCCTATTACGGGACAACGACCGGGGGCGCAACCCTATCGGTCCCCGAGCCGACAACTGTCGCGTTTGCAGTGATCGTTGGACTGACGATGCTGACTCGACTAGAGCGTCGATGAGTATTGGCGCAACGCTTCTAGCAGGGAGCTGTAGGGGTGCGTGACAATTGGCCGCGGGTCGCTTTGTGGCCCTCCAGCCGTTGAATACGTCGCTATACTTACAAGTAGGGACGGGTAAAGTCTCCGGTATGGCCTGACAGCCATTCACTTAAGTCACCTTGACGCGACGTTGCGACTGCGAGCGTGTGAGATCGACGATTGAGGTGCTCGCTAGCAGTCGCTCAGCAAAGGAGCGCGGCGATGAACCGATCGATCTTAGTAGGCCTCGGCGGGATGGGGACTGAAGGCGCTTGCTACACCGAAGCCGCCACGCAGACCGCCATCGAGTTGGCTCGCCGGAACGAGGCGCTGCTCACCGGCGTTACGATCGTCAACACGGCCCAGCTCGGTAGCCTCGGCCCGGCGCCGATCGGGGCCGGAGCCATGGCGGCTGAGATGCGCGAACACCGCTTCGCCGAGACCCGCGACCGGGTCGCCGCTGCCGTGGTTGCGTTCGAGAATGCGTGCACCGCCGCGGGTCTCCGTTACAAGGTGCTGCGAGAAGAACGCAGCGAGCCGTTCGATTACCTGATCTCGCAGGCGCGCTACCACGACCTCACGCTGATCGGTCTGCGAGGACTCTTCGAGTACGGCGTTGCGGGGGAGGCCCACTACAACGCCGCCGACACGATGGTGAAACTGATCGCGGGGGGCGTTCGGCCGCTGATCGCCACCGGGCCCAAGTACCGACCCATCAACCGGGTGATGATCGCCTACAGCGGCTCGCCCCAGTCGGCGAAGACGATGCGGCGGTTTGTCCAGATGCGGCTCTGGCCCGACGCGACCGTGCGGGTCGTGGCTTTCGGCGATGACTACGAACGGCGGCAACGGCACCTGTCACACGCCGCGGGCTACTTCGAGGCCCACGACATCGATGTCGAGTTGGACTACCAGCCCGGCGACGCCAGGAAAGGCCTGCTCGAAGCGGCCCAT